GGGCCACTGGGAAGTGGGGTGCACCTCTGTTATTTTGAGGAACTCATCGAAACTTCTGAACTTAGTGGTTAAATTTCAACTCTTGCCTGTCCCAGTTCAGGAGTGGATGACTGGGGATCAGTGGCCTTGGCTGGGAATGGGACGCTTGGGTCACAGCTCTGGTCGATAAACAGCTGAGCAAGCCTGCCAGAGAGTTCAACTAAGAGGGATCCCCCGAGAGCACCAGGAAAGGGTGTGAAAGACAGTGAGGGTGAAGTGTCCCTGTCCCCTGTGGTATTGACCCTGTTTTGGGGACATGTAGCACAGACACAGAGCTATCACATAAGCGGACAGAAGAGGGCAGGTTCAAGACCATAAGGACTAGTGGAGTCACAGTCCTGAGCGGGGCTGTAACTGGGTGCTTTGATTGCCAAGGGCGGCTGAGATGCCTTGGACCCATCTCCTCAGCAGAGACCCAACTTATTCAAATGTAGTTCCTGAGGTAGGATGCCCTGGAGATGGCGAGACCCTGGGTGCTGCCCAGGGGTTTGCCACCAATACCAACAGTGTTCCTTTCATGCATGAAGGGTCAACACAGGGGCAAAGTGACTTGGTGGCCCTGGCCATGCTGCTTGGATTTTGCGATGGCCTCAGGAAGCCCCACTCTGGATCAGCCATCTGATTGCTCTCCAACACCTTTTCCTAAGGGGGCCATGGGAAGGCAGGTAAGAGTGTTCATCGGCACTATTAAGTTTTGCGTCTGTGAGAGCATGGGCAAGTCTCACAGCACAGATTCCAGATCTCAGATCTACAAAACCTAGACAATTGGGATGAAGTGTGGGTGACCTGTGGGCCCAAGAGGGGGAGAGAGAAGAGAGGAGGGAAGGAGAGACAGAGAGACAGAGAGGCAGACACACAGAGAGGAGAAGACAAAAGGAACTGTGCTTCATATTTTGTATTGTTTTTAATTTTTGCCTTTATTATTTTATTTACATTCAGCTATATAATCAATAAGTTCATTTTAAAAAGGGATAAAAAGTTAAATTGCGTTTTATTTTGTGCATATGTATGCACAGACACCTGTGGAGGTCAGAGGACAACTTGTGGGAGTCAATCCTCTCCTTCCGCCACGTGGGTCCTGGGGTCATCAGGCTTGGTGTCAATCATCTTTGCTAGGTGAGTCATCTTGCTGGCACAAATAGATTCCTTTTATTTCCTTAAGCTGGTTTCTACACTGTGGCATTTATATCTCTGTTCTGAAGATGGAGGAAACTGCTCAGAGTAGTGGCCTGTGTTGGAAGTGCCTCTTAGATGGCAGGTGGCCGGGCCAGGACTCCATGGATTTTGAGCCCATCCCACAAACAATGCTGAGGAGACTGAACTGGAAAGAAAGTACAGCTAGATGTGTGGCCAAGCAGGAGGTCTTCAGGCACATGTGGTCACTACACTGCCGTTGGAGCTCTGGAACACACGTGAGGAGCGCAGCAGATGTGTGGAGAAGACAGGAGGGCCGGCCACCCAACTTGTTGGCTGGCTACAGTGGGGTGTCTGGGGTTGAAGAAGCCTCCATGGGAGCGTGCACTCTGGCTGGAAGGGTGAGGTGAAAACAGCCATGGCTCACAAGGTCACACGTGTGCATCTCTGGCTGGGCTCTGCGGCGCCTGCTCTTCTCTACCCCCTGTGGTGTCAGCTGTGCTGGCTCATGGTGTGGCACCCTCTCTTCAATATGGCATCTTTTGTGGCTGCCTGGAAGATGCTGGCTGGGGGTTCTCTCTGCAGGGCAGCTTGGGGATAAGTGGATCAAGGGCAAGGGTCCCAGGATCCAGGAAGTAGACACTGTTAATTTCCAAAGGCCCAGCCTGGTGAGTAGTTGAAGACATCATGGAGTTCTTCTGGTCTAGCAACTCAGAGGTCAGGGGAAAGGTCAAGGCCTCACTTCTGAAGGGTTGCTCAGGAGGCCAGGCAGGCTCCTCAGTGAGCCAACTTTAGAGCCATGAGTGAGCATGTCAACAGCCCACCCTGCTGCTGCCACTGTCCCCATCTGGAGAAGGACACTCTTTTTTAAATCATTTTTTATTTTAATTTTAAATAGCTTGTTTTACATGTCAATCCCAGTTCCCTCTCCCTCTCCTCCTCCCGCACTCCCCTTCCCCCACCCTCCCACCCTATTGCCAAATCCAGAAGGACACTCTTTTTGGCACACAAAGCTGTTTTCTTCTGTGACCCTGAACTGTCATCTTAGCTTCTGGTGTGAGAGTCTTCATGGACAGCATCATGGGTGAAGTAGGTGAGGAGGAGGAGGAGGAGGAGGAGGAGGAGGGGATTGCCAAAGGCCTTGGTGTGCCTACTGCAAGGAGAGGCTGTTGAGGGACTGTCCCCACAACCTGGGTGGAGGCTAGCAGCCATTCAATACAGGGAACTGTGTCTCTGTCCACCTGAGGGTAAGTCCAGGTCCTGATGATGTGGATCCCCCCTCTCTCCTCAGCCTGTAGTGCGGGGACCTCGCCCATCTGTCCACATTTCTACACTCCCTTCCCCTCCAGGCCTCCATCATCCTTGCTGGCCCCAGAAAAGCCTCTACAGCTGCCCTTCTCCAGGTAAGAAGGATCCCCATTGTTTCCCCAACATCCCAGGCAGAGTGGCTTTTCAAAACACAAACCTGTTCACATTCACCCTTCTCCAAACCTTGACAAGGCTTCCCACTTCTTCTCAGTAAAACATCCAACCTTCCTCTCTGTACCATGGGTGTATGATGTAGGGGCGCTGCCTATTTTTTTTTCTCCGCAAAGAATAGGGATCCTTATGGCTGGTTGGCAGTCGTTCAATGCATGGGGCGATCTGTTCACTTTCTGCTTGGGAATTCTGCTAAGTCCTTTACCCACTCTCCCTTGTGTGTCCATGAGATCTGAAAAGCTCCTAGAGACGAAAGCTGAGATTTGAGAGCAGCAGCAACTCATTAAAGGAAAATGGAGAGACATGCCTGCCTGGTTGTTCAAGCTAGTCAACCAGTTACAGGGGACGCAGAGACAGAAGGATTGCAAGTTCAAAGCCAGCCTGGGTTCCAGGACAATACTTTGTCTCAAAAAAGAGGTATCTCCTTGACTACTCGGATTTGATCCCTGGGATCCAGATGGTAGGAGGAGAGAATGGACTCCCAAGTTGTTCTCTCTTATTTCCATGAAATGCCATGGCACTCAGACAATCCCTTTAACATACACATGGAATAAACAAACATAATCGTAAAATCCAGGACATCAAAAGAAAAGAGGGTTGGGGAAGTGGCACAGTTGGTGAAGTCCATGCTCTGTGATCACGGAGCACAAAACGTGAAGTCCAGAACCCATGTATAATAACCAGGCACAGTGGGGTGGCCTTGTAGTCCCAGAGCTGGGGAAGCGGAGACAAGTGGACCACTGGAGCTCCATAGATGGTCAGCTTCACCCACTCTTCAAGCTCCAGGTCCCACCGAGATACCCTGTCTTAAAAAACAAGATGGGTGACTGCTGAGGGGCATGGTATCCCAAGCACTTATGAACACACACACACACACACACACACACACACACACACACACACACACACACACACACTCACACATTCTCACTCACTCACACACATACTCTCACTCACTCACACACACTCACTCACACACTCTCACTCACTTACTCACACACTCACACACACACTCACACACACACCCACAAACACACTCATACTCTCACACACAGCATTATCACACACTCACTTTCACACACACACACACACACACACACACACACACACAGCTTGATCTTTAATTGTGACCTGATTGGCACATGGACCCGCATTCACCCTTCACTGCTGGAGTTGTTACCGCTCCACCCTTTCGTCACCACTCACTCATGTGCTCGATGGTTCAGCTAAGTGTAATTTGAAGCCTTGGGATGGAGAACCTAAAGCTAAAGCCATGGGTGAAAGGGAGGAAATGGGGATGCTGGGGTGAGCATACTGGGAATGATGTCACCATTACTTTATGTTTTCCATGCATTCAAGCATTCATATGCAGAATTCTCATAAAGAGTTATGCTGGCCGGGCGTTGGTGGCGCACATCTTTAATCCCAGCACTCGGGAGGCAGAGGCAGGTGGATCTCTGTGAGTTTGAGGCCAGCCTGGTCTACAAAGCGAGTTCCAGGACAGTCTCCAAGACAATACAGAGAAACCCTGTCTCGAAAAAACCAAAAAAAAAAAGTTATGCTGATTGAGGTGCGAATCCTCCAGGAGTCTCTGCCCAAGTTCCTCTTGGTACCTCTGGGCTTAGTTCCTGTAGCTGCTCTAATGCTTCCCTGGAGTCTGGGTCAGTTGGAATTTCAGATCTTTATGTTGGGAATACTTTGCAAAATGATTAGGACACAGTGTGAAAACAGACTTTTGTATAGGTCCTGGGGGTGCACCACGTGTCTGGAAGTCAGGGAGCTGGGTGGGGGAAAAGGAAAGGACCCCGTGAGACTTTATTGAAGTCCTGGGTATGATCCCATGCAGCCACCTGTGGCTCCTTGACCTTTTTTTTTTTTTTTAATTTTATGAGACAGGGTTTCTCTGTGAAGCTTTGTAGACCAGGCTGGCCCCAAACTCACAGAGATCTATCTACCTGCCTCAGCATTCCAGGTGCTGGGAATAAAGGCGAGTGCCACCACCGACCGGCTTGCTCCTTGACCTTTTGGCTAAGATCAAATACAAACAAATTTCATGAGGTAGTTTGAGCAAACAGGTCGTTCGAGGAGATGACACATGACTGGCGGGTGGTCCATGTGATATATCTGTCCGTGTGCTAGGGTGGCCTCCATCAAGTAGGTTGAATCCGGCAGTCCCAGGGGCCCGAGATCACCAGAAGGAAGTTATATAAGAAAGAGAATCAAGGCACAGAGGCGCTGTCCGTGGTGATGGCGCCTGTTCCCAGAAGAGAAACTGACTTTTCAACACATCCCACCGGAGCCCTCAACCCCCACCCCGCTGCTGCTGCAAGATGTGGCTGTCTTGGACTTGCTATGTAGTCTAGGCTGCCAATTTGCTTTCTACATGGATGCGAGGGCAACTTTAAATTGTAAGACTTCACACAGACGCCCAAAGCCTGCCTTCTTGGCTCCAGCCACCACCTTCAGCAATTTCTCAACCTCTTTGGACTTCATCCTCATCTCTGTAAATGACAGCACAATTCCAGGTTGAAGTCTTCAAGACACTCCTGAGGCAAAAGTAAAAGTAGCCCAGGGCCAGCCCCTGGGTGGTGGTTTAGATGGGCTGTTAACTCAGTAGGGTCGCCTAAGATCGCCCAGCTGGTGGTTGCACCGAGTCCTGACTTTACTATCGGCATAGAGGAGAGGGCAGGAAACTTAAGGAAAAGTATTTTCTTTCCACGTGAAAATAGCTACCGGATCCTGGTTTGGAGGATTGCTCACTTCGAACAAGAGGAAGAACAAGCCCCAAGAGGAACGTGAATGAGAGACCAAGTGCAGAGACAGCCACTAGTGACATTGTTGGAAACAAGCGTACATCGATGTAGAAGAAGCTCCTATTTCAGGACACAGAAGCAAGTCACATATATTCTCTATCACCGCGATAATGTCCGCGCCACATGCTTGCCCACACCGGACAGTTTTTGAGACGACGTCACTAAACAAGCTCGGAACGTCTGAGACCGACCCACGGCGCGAGTAGGTAGGACCGGTTTGGAAGCGCACGATTTATCTGAGCTGCTGTCACTACAAGTCCCAGCAGCCCTCAGGGCAGGGAAGGGACACAGCCGCCAGAATCCGGATAAACTACAAATCCCAGCAGGCAAATAATAACCGCGGAAACTACCAGTCCCAGAATGCATCGCGCTACACACCATACCCTGGGATTTGTAGTCATCTGGACAGCGTTAGCTTCTATTCACTCCCTTTCAGAAAGGACATACATTTCTCAGATTTTCCACAAGAGGATTTACCGCTTTAGCAAAAAGCACGGATGTGATATGGGAAGTAGGGGCCTCGGGAGTCAACTCTCGGGGTACGGGAGGACAACTGCGCATGTCCGCCAGAGTCCGTCGTCGAAAGCGCGCGCTAGAGGCACCCAGAGCAGGCTCCACCCCCTGTTCTCCTGGCTCCTCCCTCGAGCCCAGAGCCCAGAGAGCCTGCGCTGAGGGCGGGGCGCAGGGCGCGGGGAGGTGCTCGCAGCGCCTGCGCAGAGCGGCTGCTTCTCTCGCGAGGACGGACGCCATTATCGCATCTCCCCGACAAACACCACGAGAATTCCGCAGCCCACACGGTAATTGCAGCTCCCGCAGCCGGTCGCGCCTCCACTCCCCCTTCCCGCGGGGCGAGAGCGAGAGCGAGAGCGAGATCTCCGTCCACCCCCGCCCCGCCCCGCCGCCAACGGTCGCCAACGGCCGTGGGCCGCACGCCTGGCTGGGCGGGGGCCAGCGGGCCGCGGAATGTCCGTGCGCCGACTCGGCGCCTCCACCCGCCCGGGCTATGGGCTCCGGGCTGGGAGTGCGGGGCGGCGGGGAACGAGCGGGCGAGGCCCGGCGGCCGAGCTCACGTTCGGCTCCGGAGCCTCGGCGCCGCCCAGACCCGCGCCCGGCGGCCCTGTCACGTCCTCGGCGCGCGGGCGCGGGCTCCCACGCTCAGTCTCCCCAGTCTGTCGAAGCAGAGCCTTGCACGGTGCTCCCGGGCCCTGCGCACCACCCTGCCGCCTCAGGTGGCCCCATCTCCCGGTAGTTCTTGGCTCTCTGCCCCGGTAGGGTGGCTTCGCCCGCACTGGTGCATCCGCCTCTGCTCCCCATTCTGTTTACATCGGGACTGATACTGGGGCTCTCTTCCCCACCTAGCGTCACCTCCCTGTCCCGCACAGCCTTGCCTTTTTCCTGTTGTTTATAGCGGCCTTTGTTTTTCTGCTCCTGGTGACATTGTAACTTCTCGAGGATAGTGTTAAATCTTCTGTCTTCCTCCACCTCCGTTTTGTCTTTTTCTAATCTGGGTCAGTGACTCTTAAGGGCCGCTCAGGTAGGTCCCGATGTCTTCCCTGCACGCCTGGTTGGTCCAGGACACGGTGTTTCAGTCAGCTTTCTTCAGTCCACAGGAGACTCTGCCAAGTACTTCCTTTCTGGTAACTCTTTCCTCCTCGGATGTTTTTTAGGTGGTCTTGGCATCAGAGTATCTTCAGTTCACAGGTACGCTCAGGAAGTGTGTCCTTGAGCCTGGGAAATCCACTTGAGTCATTAGAGAATTTATTCCCCCGATTTTATTCGTGTAGGAATTCCTGTCGTGTGTAACACACATTTTGGGTAGGCTCCTTAAATCTCTTCATCTTACTTTCGAATCCCTTTTATTCTCATTCCAGGAGAGAGAGCTTCAATTTATCCTCCCCCCCCCCTTTTAATTTGCTGGGTACAGTGTTGCAGGGTTTTAATTAGAGCACGTAGGAGACAGAGGCCAGTGATTCTTTGCGAGTTTGAGGCCCACCTGGTCTGCATAGTGAGGTCCTATGGGGGGGGAGAGCCACAGTAAAAATTGTGGTTTCTTAGTGTATTTGTCCTTTCCCTTTTGCTAGTAGTTTGTCTCATGAATACATTTTCTCCTTCAGGCTGAGGAAATTATATTAGGGGTTCTTTTCAGTTTTCTTTTACCCGATTTGTTTTGTATCACTTTTTGGGAGGTGCATGGTGAATGTTAGCTTCTTGCTTTGCATGGCAAGTCTTTTCTTCCAATATTGATAATTGTTATTACCTAAGCCTTAGGCCCTAAGGCAAGAGGAAACTGGCAGAAGTTCCCGAACCTGTGGAGAGGGTTTTTAAAATGGTTTTTCCCTGTAGTGACTTGGTGAGCTTGTTACCTTAAGACTTGGAGGACTTGTTTTATCTGTGCTGTTTGTCTGTCTGTAAGGGTCTCCCTTTGCTTAGAAGATGTTCTGCTTGTTTCTGAGGTGGCTGTAGAGACTTAGGAGGCCCTGGTGAGGCCTAGAGCCCCACTCCCGTGTGTCTCATGCCCGCTGTTTCTCTTATCTAGATTAGACGCTCTGTCAGAAATGAAGTCTTTTCCTGTGTTCTGTTTACTTGTGAGTTTATTGTACTCCTTTTTTGTTTCTTTTTGGTTTTCGAGACAGTTTCTCTGGAACTCTGTAGAGCAGGCTGTCCTCAAACTCATTGAGATCCGCCTGCTTCTTCCTCTCAGGTGCTGGGATTAAAGGCGTGCACCACTGCCCAGCGTTATTGTATTCTTTATATTAAAAAGTGTTTTGTTTTTTTGTTTTTTTGAGACAGGGTTTCTCTGTATTGTTTTGGAGCCTGTCCTGGAACTCGCTCTGTAGACCAGGCTGGTCTCGAACTCACAGTGATCCGCCTGTCTCTGCCTCCCGAGTGCTGGGATTAAAGGCGTGCGCCACCAACACCCGGCTATTAAAAAAAGTGTTTTAATGCAGTGTGTAGAGACTGTTTACAAGGGTACTCACATTGAACAGGAATTCCAAAGTCTGTTGTCTTCAGACCAATTCTTTCCTCCTTTCGTTTGGGCTTCGTAATGGATGTGTGCCAAAGCACGGTCTCTGTGGTTGCCTTCAGTTGAATGGATGGTTCTTCTGACTCTGCTGTATTGGCAGGGCACCAGGATGCAGGACACTGGTCAGACACTGAGCTTAGGCACCTCATTTGACTTGTTCTGAGGTGAGCACTCAGATTAGCCACTCACTTTTCTGCTGGGTCAGTGTAAGCAGCTCAGCTATCATGGTTCACTGACCCAGAAGTGCACAGTGCAGTGTTTCCTTTACCCACAGCACAGGGATAGCAAGGTGATGCATTGGGCTGGCCCACTTGCAAGTTGTGCTTAATGAAATAGGCTGCATCTGCCAGAGTCTTGAAACAGAGTCCACAGCAACCCATATGCTGATGAGCAATTAGGCTCACCTGCAGATTCAGACTGCAGTTAAGAATTTCAGAGAAACTATTGGTGAGCTTTTCTCTTCCCTTTCATTTCTTCCCCTGGTGTTGACATCTTACACAAGGAACTATCCACAGAATGTGTCTAAAACAGCAAAGTTACCTAGATTACAGACGTTTGCACAAGTTCTAGTATTCAACTGGCATCTTTCTGTTTGTTTCAGGATCTAATTTAGGAACTCATACCCTATAGTTGTCATATCTCCCTCAGCCTGATATTTCCAGCATCCCCAAATATCCATCAGTGTTTATAAGTCTTCACAGGAAAAAAAGTGCTATTTCTGGAAAAAACCCAGCAGATGCTGTACATCTAAAGCAAATGATTGAGGCTAATGGGGGCAATAGAGACACTGATGTCAAACTACCCCAAGAGATTAAAACCAAGGACATATCAGTTCTCTCCTAGAAATACAATCAGTATATTCACGAGAAAATGTTAGATACATATGGGGGGAGGAGTGTTTACCAGAATTCTGACCATTGCTTCTCTCCAGGTGAGGGGCTCAGAATCTACATTTAGTCAGGGCATGTGTGTGTGCATACTGACATTCAGTGAGGTGGTTAGTAGGTGCCTAAGAGAAATGGAGGCTCCAGGCACAGATTTCTAGATGAGTTTGCAACAGCAGTTTTTACTAATGCCACCCCATGTAGCTTAGCCTGTATCGTCAGAATCAGTTAGTATAGAAACCTAAGGCGTACAGTTGAATTCGATGATGCAAAGCTGACTATAAAATCCCATATAACATAAAGGGTCACCTGGAAAAGACTGGACAATTGGATGCATTGAGAGCCCCAACAGGAATATGTCAGGCTTGTTATATTTATGGTAAATGTTACAGTTTCTCTTCATAAAAATCCCTCCCAGGGAACTGATCAGAAGTGCTCCTAACCATCCTGCACTGTTGGTTGGAAAGAAGGAGAGTTTCAGGAGAGCAAGTGTGGGAGTTGAACCATGGCAGTTGCCTCCTTAGGCAGCACCAGCTTTGCACTTGGAGCTCATTTCATCCCAGGCAGAAGAATGCAGCGAGATCTGGTAGCTGTCTGCCTTGAAATAATGGGTGGAGGTGCTATTCCTGTGCCTCAGTTCTCAAGGGCAGATCTAGAAACTGACTGGCACTGTCCTGTATGGATGAAGTTAGTCTTAGAACTGACACTAGAGCCTGGTGGAGGAGCTGGTGCCTCCAGAGCATGGAACCACCATCAAAGAGGATGAAACATTGCTGAAATACAGTGGATTTGATGCCTATCTTGAATTAACTGCTGCAGTGTTCATGTCTACACAGTCAAGAACTGTCCAGTTTGATTACATATATATTAGCCTATGGTGGAGTAGACATCTTACTCCAAAGGAGCCTAATATTGGTGAAGGTTCTTTAGGGTCTCAAAGGTGGGGTTAGGAGGGAGCATCTACATGGTTGATTGCATACTATAGTTTTGGGGAAGAATGAAGTCTGGCAAGAGAGGCCAGAGAGGGTGAAAAGATAGAAACAGGTTTTGACATGTCTTTGAAAAAGTTGAGATGTGATGGAGCATGTATGTAATATTGACTACCCACTGCCTTTCTCTCAGGTCCTCTAACGGACATTAAAAGTTATGGAGGGCTGGGCATTGGTGGGGTGCATGCCTTTAATCCCAGAATTTGGGAGGCAGAGGCAGGCAGATCTCTGTGAGTTAGAGACCAGCCTGGTCTACAGAGTGAGTGCCAGGATAGACTCCAAAGCTACACAGGGAAACCCTATCTCGAAAACCCAAAAAAACAACAAAAAAGTTATTGAGGATCGGTGGGTTGTGGTAGCGCACACCTTTGATCCAGCACTTGTGAGGCAGAGGCAGGTAGATCTCTATGTAAGATGGAGGCCAGCCTGCTCTACACAGTTCCAAGACAGCCAGATCTATATGTAGTAGGACCCTGTCTCAAAATAGAAACAAAAAAGTTGAGGATAAACAGTGGAAAGTAAGTATAAGTTAGGCAGTGGTGGTGCATACCTTTAATCCCTGCACTCGGGAGGCAGAGGCAGGTAGATCTCAGTGAGTTGGTGGCCAGCCTGGTCTACAGAGTGAGTTCAAGGACAGCCAGGGCAACACAGAAACCCTGTCTCAAAAAACAAGTGAGTGTGGGGGAGGAGCTAGGAAGAGTGAGTAGGCAGATGAAATCTTCACAGGTCCGGTGCTATAGTCCTGTCAGTAACACACCATCTCCGTGAGAAGCTGCTGTGCCCTGTGTTCTTTTGCCTCAGATGGAAAGTTAGTTTAGCCTTGTGGAAGATGGAAATGGTTTTGGATAGAACTGGAAATGATACCTTGGTATGTGTACACCATGCTGCTACACTGAGTT